TGCGGGTGTCAGTGTATCGGTGAAGAGAAGAGTTCGATGCACACCCACACCCACACCCACACTCCACCCACACCCACACCCACACCCACACCCACACCCACACCCACACCCACCCACACCCACACCTACACCCACACTCCACACCCACACCCAATTTTTTCTTTTCTTTTAATGTCGATGATGGTTGATGATAGAAAGAAAACTTCATATGAAACACTATTTGCGGGCAAATATGAGATGAATATTTATGTTTAGAATAAAACAAGAAGTTGTTGTTGCGTTTAAACTATTAAGTCTTTTCATTTTTAAGCTTATTAATCATGTAAAGTTTTCAATAGCGATACATTCGTCCAAGATATTGAAAAATAAACCCGTTTTCTCGAGACACAAGAAGAAAAGAGCTACCTTAAAAATGCATGCATATCTAGATTTTGTCTCTACAATATATTGACGGTTCAGTTTTATATCATTCGAAGTAGGTGAAAATCGAAAAGCAAAAGGAAAATAATATTAACCATGTCGGAAAGATGTCTTTAATTACTTCTTTTTTTTCTTACTGATAGAAATAATTGTTTTCGGATGAAATAAATTTTGCACGAATTAAAAATATTATTAACTTTTAGTTGATTAAAAAGAATAAATTTTTCAGAATGGAAATAATAGTGATGAAAACACTCTCAATTAATCTTTGTTAAGAAAGCTAATTCATTATTATTTGTTTCTTAAAAATAAAAAACGATAGTGAAGAAAAAAATGCATTGTTAGAGAATAAGAGCAGATATCCTAAATAAATTTTTTAATGCTGAAAAATAAGCAATTTGTTCATCTTTGTTTTTTAATGATTAAGATCCTATGTATCTTTATTTTTTAATAATAAACGTTGATGATGTCATCACTTATTCACATGTTAGAATCCAATCTAATAGTATTTAATCCGAGGCATATTTTACAAAATTGTTTCATACCAGACGCTTTATATTAATTTTATCTAAAATATTTTCTCATTTATGCCAAAAGTTGAATCATGTCATATTGATATGCAAACTATTCCAGAAAAGAATTTTTTATTTTGTTTTTTTTTCCCCTTCCTTCAAATGTGAGCTATACAAGTGTCTGAAATACATTGATAATGAACGCCTCTTTTGTATTGCAGAGGCTAAGTGTAGTTTTTTTATGCAGTGGTGAAAAGTGTATGTACGGGAAAGTGTATGTAGCTTATCTCCACCAAGAAACCAAACTATTGAGCAGATATGCTTCCATTCAATGAAAATTTTTTGTTCATCCGCATATTACAGGCAGAAGATGTCGTCGTCTTCTGTGTATAAATTCCAGTCAATGGAAATCAGTATCAGTACGTCAGTGTTTCGTGTGCGTCAGTGCAACAAGTGCAGTCAGTGTCAGTGTATGCACTGATTCAGTGAACACCAGTGTCAGTGTATGTACTGATTCAGTGAA